ATTAGAGGGCTCGAGAGGGATTGAGTCGTTTTAATTGCGAGTGAGCTGGCAACACAACACGAAACCATGCGGCGCGGGGGAAACGCAGCCAATATTTCATACATGCATCAGCACTTTACCCTATTTCTATGTATTGATGATTAAAAAAAGCTGATGACACCACTTTTCCCCCCCTCAATATTAGTATATATTTAATATGTTCCTATTTTGTTCTAGTGTGTGCATGCTAGCTGTTCTCACTATGGTTATGCAAATTCATGGATTTTTTTTAATCAAAGTCATTTAGAATGAGATAAAAACACACTAGTCAAGTCAAGTCACATTTATTTATTTCTATAGCGTCCAACAAGATTGTTTCAAAGCAGATTCACAATAGGAAAATAACAATGATGCAACCTTCACAAATATGAGAGAAATTCAAATTCTAAAAAGACAATATGTGTATTTACTCAGATCGCTTCAGTTCAGTTCAAAGTGAACCTAAAACACACTAGTACAAAAACAAAAGATGTCTTTTTTAAGTAGCCTAAATAGGGAAAAGTGGGGGAAACGCCTCCTTGGTAGGCTACGAATTTAATGTTTGCAAACAATCGAATAACTCTGGACATTTTTCACACTTGCATGGTTTATAACTTACAGTATGTCATAGTCACTGAAACTAACTATTCTAGACACATTTAACTTTTGTTTCACAGAAAAAATGACACCGTCCTGAAGGGGGGTGTTTTCTCCCACTCTTCTTCATCAGTGTGATTTTGAAGACTGAAACCAAAAGCGTTCAAACACCGAATGAGTTTATCTTATTGGAATAGTATAATCAGAGGAGCTGCACAAAAAGCGCTTTTGAAATGATAATGCGGACTGGAACAGAATGGAAATGATACACGTTTTGTATTGAACAAGGAAGCTTTTTTCCCCCCGAACGGATCGCTGAATGTCGTCAATGGGGAGCGTTTGAAAAGCGATACAACCTGTATTCATTGACAGGCAATTTGCACGAGCTTGAGGCGCGTTTAGCTTTACAAGCGACGTGAGACAGTGCCTTGTATTTTAGTGGTCGGTTTGTTCAACTCAGATCCATTAGGAGTGTTTTGACCATTAGGTTCCTGCGCTCAAGCTCTCTCTCTCTTTCTTTGTGGAAGAAAAATAGGCGGCAGGGGTTGGAAAGACAGAGGCGCCAAAAATAGAAGCCATTACTCCATTATTACAGCCTATCGTCTGTTGCTAGGCAATGGTATCAGATTAACACTAATTATCATTTTATCACACTTTCTTCTCTTCGACGTTCGCTCTTTCCTTGGCTCTCTCCTTCATTCCTCAGCAGAGCCGGAATCGCAAATAGGATCCTATGCATCGAAGTGCTGTCGGAAGCCTCTGAATCCATTAATCAACATATCTCGGTTCCGAGGCTTTTCATTCGCTGCCGTTATTACATGAGACTTAATGAATATTGGAGAAGCCAAAATCCAGCTAACATTCTCAGAACGTTCTGGCAAGGTTCTCTCAAAGTTATCAACAAACGCTCTAACGTTAATAGAATGTTCGTTCAAAGTCTTTAATAACGTTCTAAAAACGTCAGCACAAAAATGTTACTTATGCATCAGTCATCTAACATTTTGTAAACGTTACAACTTACTTGTTTCAAAACATTCAACATTCAAAGTTAAGGTCCCAATAATGTTTGTAAAATGATAAAATGGAACATTCTTTTAATGTTTTTGCTAACATTCTCTTCAACAATATATATCTTTTTTTAAACATTAAGGGGCCAAGCACAAAGAAGGCAATATAAGTCATGCCAACATGGCTGGAAGCATTAGACCAACTAACAATGAGCAATTAAAGACATATTTTTTGATTTTAGGCGAAATGGATGAAAAATACAGTCACTAGTAATTTGATTTAATGGTTTATCACTTTTGACCAATAGGTGGCGCTGTGACCAAATTGATGTGGTGTGGTCAGAGTAAGATGACTGACTGACATATGCAAAGTTTGGAGTCAATATGCTAAAAAGCATTGCAGAGATACAGTCCCAGTCATTTTAACATCATGCTATCAAATGTGTTATGCGGTAAACGAAAACAGTTTGGTCTATAAACACAAAATCCATTACTTTTTGCTGGCATGGTCTGAAGATGAAACGATTCGATTGTGGTGAAAATCAGACAAACGCTCTAGGAGGAGTTCGAAAAAGTAGGTTTTTAAAGAAAATCTAAATGGCGGACAGGAAGTTTGGGCGACTATGGTAAAATCAGCATATGTTCGCGGCATGACCCAAGGAATCTATTAAGACATTTACAATAGGCTAATTTAATCAAATTTTTGTTATTAGTTATTAGCATTTTTTGGGCATTTCTTTATAATTGTTGACCACAAGGTGGCGCTGCCCCAAAACTTTGAGTACGGTGCCGAGCGAGTTTCTTAAATATACGCAAATGTGTTCTTAAAATATAGCATTTTACGAAAAAAATTTAAAATGGCCGAGACGGGAAAATTGGGTATCGTTTGACTCTGCATGCTGCACCAAATCTAAAGAGACCAGTTTTGTGATTTTTGGCCAAACCGTTCAGAAGTTATAAGCAAAAATAGCCATTTTTCATATGTCCTCCTGACCACTAGGTGGCACTGTGTCGACACTTGGCAAGTAGCCTCAGGTCATGGCTGTCATAACACACACCAAGTTTGGTCAGAATACGCGAAAGCATTGCAGAAATATCTGTTATTCGAGAATGGTTTGACGAATCAACTTGAATTCCATAACTTTCCGATTAAATTTTCGTGAAAATCGGAAATGTTGGTTTTTCGGAAAATTTGAAATGGAATTGAATCATCATGATCCAAGGAATCAGGGGGAAAATATTTTGTTTCTATCCCTTAAAAAATTATTAACAAACTTGAGTGCAATTTTGGACAGTTGGTGGCGCTAGAGGGATTGAGATAGAGACTCCAAAATTGCTCAGACTGTCCTCTATTTGTGCCAAATTTCATAACTTTCCCGCAAGCGGTTCTATGGTCTATGGAAAACGGGAAAATAATAATAATAGGAATGCCAACGGATACAATAGGCGCCCAATACACACCTTTTGACCCCTAATAACGTGTCCATAACTTAATGAGAATGTTATCAAAATGATCTTCGATGATATTATTGTTAGCTGGGACTGGCAAAAGCCGAACGCACCTCTATGTTCTCGCTCTTGGAACGTCGATGGAAACGCACCATCTGGAAAAGGAAAGATATAAAACCACAGCCAAATCCAACAATCCTGTACGCACATATGAAGACTTCCAGCTCTTTTTAATCAGACTCGTTCGCATGACTGACATTCACTTTCGTCGTCTCTTGGCAAAAGTACAGCGAAAGCCGTTTTGTTCTTTGAGAACAGATTTCGCTGCTAATTAACAGACACGTATGAGGTGGTGTTTAGGAAGCGCCCTACATTGAGCCGGTGACGGCGTCTGAAAACACCTTCGTCTCGGTTTCTGCAGTGATTTATTCCTGTGGATCTCTGGCGCGCGTGTAGGCCGAAGCTCGAGGGCACGAGCGCATTGTTCCAAACCTGCCCATTGTTTCTGAGCTCAGGGCCAGTAATGAGGGACCGTGGAGGAGCCGAGCGCTGCGCTGCTGTCAGAGTGAAGAATGCACACACACACACACACACACACACACACACACACACACACACACACACACACACACATCTATAAATGAGGGGATATATGTCTGGTTAATTAGAGGTACTGACCCTGTGTTGCTTTAATACACATCCTCTATTAGTCAGAGTAAATTATTCATACTACTGTCTGAACATTAAACCGGTTTAACCTGTGATATATGTTTCTCACTGCAAAACATTGTTACATCTTTCATAGTTTTCAGAATATGTTGGCACAGACATCTTTGGCTTGCTCATTTGGGGTTTAAAAGACACTTAATATTAGAAGTATTATTGATTTGACTGACACTCAGTGAGAACAAAACCAGAACTGAATAATGACACTTCTGTAGAGCTGCTTGGTTGAATTTCTATATATATATATATAGAATATGGTGCAAAAGTTCATTTATTTCAGTAATTCAACTGAAAAGATGAAACTAATATATATTATATAGACTCATTACATGCAAAGTGAGATATTTCAAGCCTTTATTTGTTATAATTTTGATGATTATGGATTACAGATATGAAAACCTTTTCACAATATTCTAATTTTGAATTTGGGGTTTTCATAAGCTGTAAGCCATAATCATCAAAATTATAACAAGTAAAGGCTTGAAATATCTCACTTTGCATGTAATGAGTCTATATAATATATTAGTTTCACCTTTTAAGTTGAATTACTGAAATAAATGAACTTTTGCACCATATTCTAATTTGTCGAGTTTCACCTGCATATATATATATACATATACACAGTACATTTGTGTGTGTGTGTGTGTGTGTGTGTGTTGCCTGGTAAACTCGACATTATGGGGACAGCTAAATAATACTAAGGAATGTTTTTTGAAAATTTAAAAATGCAGAAAGTTTTGTGTGATAGGCAAGTTTAGGGGCCGGGTTAGTGTAAGGGGAGAGAATATACAGTTTCTACAGTATAAAAATCATTATTGAGAGTCCCCATAAAACACAACATGTGTGTGAGTGTGTGTGTGTAGGTTAAGATGTAAATATATGTTAAACTGTAATGTATTCCTGTGATCAAAGCTGAATTTTCAGCGTCATTACTCCAGTCTTCAGTGTCACATGATCCTTCAGAAATCACTCAATTATTATTGCCTCTCAATTTTTAATAATGCTTTTTTTTTAAAGATTCTTTTGTTAATAAAAAGTTCATTTATTTAAAATAAATTTTTATTTTTCATAACATTATAAATGTCTTTACGTCACTTTTAATCAATTTAATGCATCCTTGCTGAATAAAAGTATTAATTTAAATTATTAAACCAACATTTGAATTGGTTTTCCATATTTATAATAATAAGACATGTTTCTTGAGCAGCGTGTCCAACATCATGCATCCTCATTTTTAAAGCTGTTTAACTCAAGTTTGCATGTACACTTCTGAAACCATGTGCAGGTGTGCTTTGATTATTGAAAGATTTGCTGCATTTATGTTTCCAGTAAGTTCCCTATGATTCCCACTGTGCTCCAGTTCCCACAAATTCCTGACTCTTCAACTTCCCCAACATCTCACCTTGAAAATGAACCACTTTGATTTATAGCGTCGGAGGGAAGAGTTTCCATCTTCACCCCCCGAGTTGTCACAGCTATTCTATAATTGGATGAGCCGCGTGACCGACCTAGCCGGAGCTTTTCAGGCGGCCATCTTTGGGAATTTTCCCTCGTTTTGCACTGGCGAAAACTAGGACGTTGTTCATGTTGTCATTAATTGCACTGAAGAAAAAAAAAAACCAGTTCATTGTCCTCCAAGAGTAAAAGCGAAGAGGGAGGATCTTCAGTCACTGACCTCAAAGTGTCACCTGACCACATGACTCGTTTTATCCTCATTGTGTCATCGCTATATTATGTTCCAGAAACCGTCCTCCCATCCAGCGTATAATCGACCTCAGGACAGCAGGATCCAGTCAAGAACTGAGCCGATGGACGACTGGTGACCTTCTCTAACTCTTCCGTGGATCTAAAGGTGCTCCCGAAGTCATGAGCGCATCGACGCTACACGCGTACAGACGGTGTGTCAGTGTGTTCAATCTGCCTCGGGTCACCGCGGACCGGCTCTCCTGAGGACAGAAATCCAATTAGCTGCTGAAAAAACATCATGTGTTTCACACTAATTACTCTTGCTGTGTGTGATACTCTATTTCTGAGACTTCTTCACAGAAGCGTATTTGTGTTTTTAGGACCGTTTCATGTTCACTGCATGAGAACCACTAGAGTTATGGCAAGCCCTTTTGACTTCTATTCATTCCCAGGATATGAATGCTTGATATCAACAAACAATTTTCACTTGTTAAAAATGCTCATTCTTGACATCAGTACGGAAGCGTATTGCATTCACTTGAGGAAAAAAAAATCTACTCTGTTTTTCTGAATTAACAAGTTAATTATCTCAGAATTACGAGATATTTTTTTATGGAAAAAAAGTTTTTGCTCATAATTCTGAGATATTAACTCGTTAATTCAGAAAAACAGAGATAATTTTTTCTTGAAAAACATTTTTTCACTCTGTTTTTATGAATTAATGACGAGTTACTCATAATTTTGAGATAATTAACTCGTTAATTCAGAAAAACAGAGTAGATTTTTTTTCCTCAAGTGAATGCAATACGCTTCCGTAACATCAGGAATTCGATTTCTACTAGTAAAAATGTTAATTTTTTATATCAACAATGACATCATCACTTGAACAAATATGAATTCTTGATATCAAAATTTCAACTATAGCAAAAACTATAATTCTTAATATCTGTAATTGTATTTTTACTACACTGAAAAAAAAATGATATGATCAATAAGTTATGACAACATGTTTTTACATTGCTTTAACTCATCAAAAAAAGTTAAGCAATTTTCAACTTTTTTGTCATACAAGTCAGTTAAATTTTGAAATGACTTAAACATCCAAGTTGATTGTAGTTAAAAACTTTTTTTTTTTTAAGTGTAGTTAAATGTCACCATAGGATATCAACAATTGAATTTGAATGGCAGCCTATGGTGACATTTAACTATAGTAAGTTAACAATACAATTATCAACACTTTTAATTATTGATATCAAGAATTATAATTTTTACTAGTAAAAATCCAATTTCTGATATCAAGAATTAGCATTTTAACCAGTGAAAATGTAAGTGTTGATATCAAGAATTCATATCCTAAGAGTGAATAAACGTCAAAACGGTTTGAGTCACTTTACAGTGATTTTATTCACTGACGATCTTCAACATGTCATGGAGTGCCTAAAACCCTCGTTCACCGTGGTAAAACCAGAGTAACACAAGACAGCAGCTTCATCAATAATTCAGTTTTTTTTTAAAAGACACAGTTTCCCATTGGCTGACAGGCCTAGTCATTATGTTTCATGCATCCTACAGCTGATGTGTGAATCTGCTCACCTGGCCTCTGAACACTTCATTCAAAACGCTTCTTGTTCAACCTTTTCTTCAGCATCTCACTGAGCCTCTGCATCTCTCTCTCTCTCTCTGTCGGAAACAGTTGTCATGGCAACCCACAGAACTTTCTTCGCAATGCCACTTTTAGAAACAAAGTTAGCAGAATTCCTCCAGGGTTCAGAAGAAGAGGAGAGAAGATGAAGCTACAGGTAATGCAAAAATCCCTCTCAACGTCCTCAAACGAGGCCCTAATGGAGAAAACGCTGTGAATTAAAGGGATAGTTCACTTTGAAATTAATTTTTGGTATGTTTTAGCTTACCTCAAGGCCATCCAAGATGTAGGTGTCTTCGTTTCCGCAGTAGTTTCAATTTTGATATTTTTAGGTCAAACCGTTCTTGTCTGTCAGTCATATAATGCAGGTCTATGGTCACCACCTCAAAGAGCATGCACAGAGAAGTCCAAATTAAACATGATTTAATGACTCGTAAATGTAAGTACACATTGATGGCCTAAGACACGAAACGAGCGGTTTGTGTGAGAAAACGAACAGTATTTATATCGTTTTTACCTCTTGTAACCACAGCCACGTCCAAGTGATCTGAGGGCGCGGGCGCGTCGGTCTGCGCCAGCGCCGGAAGTGATCTCTCGCGCGTGTACGTCACTCATTGTTTACACAGAGATTTCGGAAGTGTTACCTTTCACTGTGAAGATCTAAACATATTTAGATATACAGGAAATCGCAATGGAAGACGATTTCGATCATAGCTGTCAACATTTGGTTTTCAAAATCCGGGAGATTTGTGCGGGGACAGTTCGGCGCAACGGGGGGGGGGGGGGGGGGGGGGTGTTGAGATGACAAACAGGTTGAAATTGTATATGATGTGTGTGGAAAAAAAGTTTTCCTACATCTTGAAACGTTCAGGTTTATAAATGGGGGTAATCTTTGAAGGATGAACAAATAATGTTTTGGTCATCACATTAAAAATAACATTTAAATATAGGCCTATATTTATAATATTTAGATAATATTTGAGTTTTGAAGTGCTGGAAAAGATAATATTTGAGTTTGGAAGAGCTGGAAAAAGATGTGTGAAGTACTTGAAAGCATTTCACTATTCCAGCCAAACTTCCAAGGTTACAGTTAGTGTTACTATATTAAATCCATGGTGAATGTTGCTGATCTGTGGACTTAAAGCCTATAACTAGATCATTCACGGTCCAATGTTTCTCCTGGTGTCCACGTCAGCGCTGTTTGATCTAATAGAGATCTGCGGTTAATAATGGAGAAATGTGAATGCTTCTCACTAGATCTCGCAGCGATGTTATTACTCCAGTGGCGAATTCAAATGTTTTCTTCACTGGATCTCTCAGCACAGTGTCGCTTGATCTCGCGCTGCACAGATGCTGCTGGTCCGAACTGATAAATGGCCCGTTAAGCACAATATAATGAGTAGCGCAGTTTCGTTCCGGTTTCATTATGTTTGCCATTTGATGTTGCGCAACGTTGTGGTGATCGCGCCAGCGTGGATTTTGTCGGCAGGAAAAATGGTCCAAGGAATCGTTCGGTTTGTATGCGCACCGAACCGGAAGCCTCGTACCGAAACGGTTCAATACGATTACATGTTCCGTTACACCCCTAATTGTGTGAATATAATGCATTTAATACAAGATCTGGCAACATATTGGTCCGATTATTCAAAAAGGAGTTTGGGCCATGCAAATTACGGGAGTTTCCCGGGAGAAATAACAAACCGGGAGGGTTCCGGGAGATAGGGCTAAAAAACGGGAGAAACCCGGGAAAAACGGGAGTGTTGACAGGTATGATTTCGATATATCAACAGACAACGTTGAATTTTTTTCACAACCTTATTTAGATCATATAGAGATCACTTCCGGCGCTTGCGCAGACCGAAGCGCCGGCGCCCTCAGATCACTTGGACGTGGCTGTGTTTACAAGAGGTAAAAACGATATAAATACTGTTCGTTTTCTCACACAAACCGCTCGTTTCGTGTCTTAGGCCATGTTTTACCTGAGCGTTTTCACATTTGGCTCCTAAACTCTGGAATAGCCTTCCTGATAATGTTCGGGGCTCAGACTCTCTCTCCCAGTTTAAATTAAAGACACATCTCTTTAGCCTAGCATTCATATAATGCATCTCCTAACCTTATACAGTTATATGAGATCAAATGGACATGATTATTCTTGCTTAATGTTATGATATGCCCATCCTGAGGTAACTCGAGAGTTTATCTGCTGAAGCTTGTCAGGCCAAACATGAATCGGATCGACTCAGGACGAAAACACGGATCAACATCGGCAAAGCGTTTGAATTATGGAGAGACCTCCACTATTCTTATTGTGATAAATTACAAGTTTTCAGATATGCTGAAATAATGGTAAACTGTAATGAAATAGCAAGGTAAACTACAACATATGAAATGAATACAAAAGACTGTTCCAGGATAAGAAAAAGTAGGTGCTTTAGGATGTAACTTTTATTTTATGTACTAGATCTACTGTCTAACGTCACCAGGGCCGGCTCTGTAAATCTGGGGGCCCTAAGCAGAAAAATTGGGGGCCCTGCCTTGCAGTAAATAATGGAGTATTGCCACCGCAAACCGGCAACTGTATACAATCGAACCCCAATCTAACAAATCTTCAATAAAGTTGTTGCATATACTACAGGTGTTGCTGGAGTCTCGATCTTTGAACTTCTTTTTCCTTTTCCACACTTTAAAAAGAGGGAGAAGTTGGACCTGTAATTTCTTTGCTTCCTTCTAAAGTGATTTAAACATATTCTTTTTTTTTCTGCACCCGATGGATAGACTCGTTTCATTTTTGCGGTCAAATTTCCAAGTCCAGGGAAGACAACGATCTGACACGGTTGGTTGACTTAACGCAGTGGTTCTCAAACTTTTTCGGTCATTCCCCATTTTGGACAAGGGGGAATTTTCAAGCCCCACTGCCCCCATCGCCCAAACACTAAATGCTAATGAAATACGCAACAAGCTTAAAATGTTCCAATTTATTGAAGTAACCAGGGTACCCCCAGGATCCTCCAACTTAAATTCAAGGCTTTTTAAGACCTTTTTAATACCATTTTAAATGAAATTCAATGCCAACTTCGTACCCATTCCGACAGAAGTATGAGGGGAAAATGTCAAATCTGTATACATTTTAAACCCTAGAAAATAATAATGTACAAGGAGGCTACTTGACTGATAATTTAAGTAAAATGTTTTATTTAATTCATTTAATACATACGCAACAGCATTGTAGCGCACGTGTATGTAGGCCAGTGTAATTTTGGCAGCCATTTTTTATTTAGTCTTAAGATGAAAATGTTTATTGGTCTTAATCACATTTGAGTCATCCAGTTTTTTATAGTTGTAGTTGACGAAAAGTCTTTGCATTTTTTGTCCACTTTTAGTCAAACTGCAGTTACTTTACTTTTGGTAGTTATTTTATATGTAGTCTTTAGACAGAAAATGTCATAATAATTATTCTCTCTAGGCCAACTCAATTAGGCTTATGAGAAATTATTGACATTGCACGACTTTAGCAGTAGCACTTGTGCAGTTCTACATAATTATCCCTTTTTTACCTTTGTAATACCTTAAAAAAAGACAGAAATAATGCTTTAAATAAAACAATGTTCATTAAATTTGCAATGTTAAAAAACATTAAAATCGCCAGTAGGTGGCGGTAACTCCCTATCTTTATGAGTGAGTCTTTGAGTCATTCATTCATTGGATCTCACGATTCGTTCAAAGCCACATATTTCGTTGCAAAACAGAGCAATGGGCTATATGCACACATAACTTCCGCGTTTGACGCAAGGATGCTCGTGCGTTTCCGGTTGGGGAGATTTAAAGCGGAGGAAAACGGGATTATGGCAGAGTCTTCAAAATACTGTCCTCTCGTCTTTGAAACGAAACTTTAATACGTTTAGATGTAATTTTATATATAGTTATGTTTATTTAATATAATAAACACAGAAGCATAAACAAAACGAGGAGTGTCTGTTTTGTCTGTTTTTGTGACTAACGTTTCTTTAATATAGCAATAGAGTATAAAAACCAATATAAATTCTCGGTATAGCATTACTCTACGATCGGCGGAAGTAATCCAGCATCCTTAGACCTTCACCGGAAATACCGCCGTGCAGAGCCCATAAGCCTGACAATGCTGTTTTAAATGTAGTACATCACTTAATGTTACCCTTTTTTTTTTTTTTTACTGTTGTATAAAATCAAGGTCACATTTGAAATCGTGTGGATATTCGGTAAACATTGCATTCTTGCTCGTATGAACACTGGTGGATATATCAGCCTGCATTTTGATCGCAGATTTAGTCGCACAAACAGCGCAAGCGGTGACAGAACACAGACCGACTGGATGACACTTTAATTCAAGTACAACATTTTAAATAATGATCGCTGAATGCCAACTGTTGCCAACCAGGCCAGCTTGTCTGTGTTTTCAGATAATCCGCGCTTCAGCAGTGTAGAGAGAGAGCGTGCGCATGGTTGCCAGATACTATTGAAAAGACTGGGTAGAAAATATGTTCTTTTAACAGAAAAGCTCGTATTTGGGGTTTAAATTCTGTCATTTGTGGCCACAGCGGATTAAACTAGGCTAGGTACTATCTTGTTCTGTACCTCACTTGCCTAGTAACGGGTGCGCACGCGATCGCTTTTTCTGCTATGACGTGGAGCTCGCGCTCAACCAAAATTGTCTCTGACTCAACGTTGCATACATTTTGAATTAGCCTACATTAGTAACAGTTAATTTAGTTACGGTATGAACTTAATCCTAGCAAAGGCAAAAACATAAATAAGACCTTTGTAACGAAATCCAAGACTTGGTATACAAAATTCAAGGCTTTTAAGGCCTTAATTTGAGATGATCAAATTCAAGACTTTTTCAAGGCTTTTAAGACCCGCGGGTACCCTGGTAACAAGTATAGGCTACTATCTAAATACAAACTATCTACATCAAATAACATAACAGCAAGTTAAAAAATAAAGAAAATAAAAGTGCAGCTGTGTCATAACTTGCATGGAATTCAAAAATAGAGAAAATAAAAGTGCAGCTGTGTCAAAATGTGCATCAAGTTCAAAAATAGAAAAGAAATAAAAGTGCCACTTTGCAATCTGTTAAAAAAAGAAAAGAAGAGAAATACATTTGGCAAGACAGGTCTATTTAAAAAAAAAATAGACGTAACATAGGCTACTGTGTTTGATATTGGATTAAAATGATGGGCAGTGTATGAGATATAAACTAATGATTAATTACTTTAATATTCCTTTGTTCCGTTCAGAGCTTGTGAGCGGAGAGCGCATTTCTGAATATTCCTCGGCTCGCTCATTCCGGCGCTCAGGGTCGCGCGCTCTGGTTCGAACTCCGACTAAAGTTTTTTCTTCTAGTCGACTAGTAGTTGTTTATTTAAGCCATTAGTGGACAAATCGCCCCTTTATTTTGATTTAAAGGAGAACTCCGGCGCAAAATGAACCTTTGGTCTAATTACACATTGTTACCTAGTCAACCGTTATCTGAGATTTGTTTTCATGATTATCGAATGTAAATAGTTTTATCTCTAAAAACAGTTTAGCCTATAAAGCTAGTATAACGCTAGTATATTGGGCATAGTGTAATGACAAATAAAAATCGCTTGTTAATACCACTAACAAGGCTGAAAATAGACCCACACTAGCACGGTAGCATAATGAGGGTCCCTACCTTCAAACCGAAGCATTGAGAACTTTGTCAGTGTCCAGACAGTTTAATAAGAAGATATTTTAAACATAGTCAACTTCGCGTATACAGGCAGAAGCCATCTTTGAAATACAGTCTCTACCAGTCGATCTACGAACGCCGATCCAAGTGCGCTGGTGAGATGTGAACGAGCTATAAGTCGTGATAAGGTGAGCGCGAACAGCAGGCTTGGATCGGCGTTCGTAGATCGACTGGTAGAGACTGTTTTTCAAAGATGGCTTCTGCCTGTATACGCGAAGTTGACTGTATGTTTAAAATATCTTCTTATTAAACTGTCTGGACACTGACAAAGTTCTCAATGCTTCGGTTTGAAGGTAGGGACCCTCATTATGCTACCGTGGTAGTGTGGGTCTATTTTCAGCCTTGTTAGTGGTATTAACAAGCGATTTTTATTTGTCATTGATCTATGCCCAATATACTAGCGTTATACTAGCTTTATAGGCTAAACTGTTTTTAGAGATAAAACTATTTACATTCGATAATCATGAAAACAAATCTCAGAGAACGGTTGACTAAGTAACAATGTGTAATTAGACCAAAGGTTCATTTTGCGCCGGAGTTCTCCTTTAATAACTTAAATAGGCTATACAGGATAACGAGTGTTATAAAGCCGCACTCAAGCGCACGAACCGGCAAAAATAGGCTAATGATTATTATGAATGTGTAAAAAATAGCAAGGAGACATTTAATTGTTTATTAATAAACTGGTGTTTTCTGCGTCGCTGCAAATATGAAGTTGGCGATGCGGACTCGCCATGAACGAATAAAGATATTAAGGCATAAAAAGGAAAATTTCCTCCCGTTGGCGCGCCCCACCTGTCACCTCTCTATTCCCCACCAGTGGGGCGCGCCCCACACTTTGAGCGGCGACGCCGGCGACTACCATCTGTAGTTAGGGGGCCCCCTAGTGGTGGCGGGGCCCTAAGCAGCCGCTTAGTTCGCTTATAGGGAGAGCCGGCTCTGAACGTCACTCATCCCACTACTATCATATTGTTTATAATACACATTTCCAAACACGTTCAGTAATGTTACTTCCTACGATCTTACTGTTACACTGAAATTGTTCAGTCTAGTTCACTAACCGTTTTCGTTATCATATTATACATTCACCTATGTTGACATTGCTGATTGTGAAAGATACACGAATAGTTAGTGAAATGCCTTATGCTATGACACCACATGTCGGCTAAATGCAGTCAATGTAACGTTATCATGGTACGAGCATGGAGCATTAGTTTAACGTCAAGCTGATAAAAGTAGCCTATTATTGTAACGTTGCAGTGGGAGTTTACATGAGTTTCCAGCATGTTGTGTGATGCTTTCTCCGGTGTGTTGAAAGTCTCAGTGTGGCCGGTACCATGAGTGCTCGCTCTTGTGTTCCAGCACGAGCGCTCTTGAAAAAATTGGTTGCAATCTGAAACATCACCGATAGAGGCCGCTAAAAAATACATATAGCACCTTTAACAAACAAGTATTCATTACTTCAGTGAGCTCATTGTTTCTGCATTAAATTAGTACAGTGTATAAATGAACACATTTTTTGCTAACTGTGATTTGTATATGTACATTTGTGAAATGCAGTTTCCTCTGATAACAAATCACTCTAAACTGTAATATAACTTGAAATGATGTGTATTGTGAAAAGCGCTATACAAATAACTGAATTGAATCCCGGGATGACGTGCAATGCAGGAGAAACCTGAAAACCTAAGTCTGGTTTAAGTTAGTCTTTCTTAATCTCAAGCTCAAGTAGATGCACACACACACACACACACACACACACACACGGCGTCAAATTGTCTCCCTCGTCGGCTGTCAGCGCGAGTGATCGTGTCAAGAAGACACATGTAATTTCACCTCAGCAACAGCTGCCTGTAATTACTCCCCGCATGCACCACTCTTGAAAACAGCTTGATTTTTTGGTTGAAGCGATTCGGCGCTCAAAAGGTTCTGCGAACACACATAAAGAACGCAAGTTCGTGCTTGTAAACAGTGATGCACGATCAGAAATGTCATCATGTGGGTGAATATTGAAATATTACTCAAATAAACAAGGAAATCAAATATGATTACAGCTACAGGCTTTGCTAGACATCCACAGGTACTGTGAGGATAGAGTACACTTACTGCCTTTAATGTGTTATTCAATATCATCAGTCTCATTCACACTGCAGTTCATACAGTGTCACAGGTTATATTATGGGTTTGATCACATCTATCTATCTATCTATCTATCTATCTATCTATCTATCTATCTATCTATCTATCTATCTATCTATCTATCTATCTATCTATCTATCTACACTATCTATCTATCTATCTATCTATCTACACTATCTATCTATCTATCTACACTATCTATCTATCTATCTATATATCTCCCCATCTATCTATCTATCTATCTATCTATCTATCTATCTATCTATCTATCTATCTATCTATCTATCTATCTATCTATCTATCTATCTATCTATCTATCTACACTATCTATCTATCTATCTACACTATCTATCTATCTATCTATATATCTCCCCATCTATCTATCTATCTATCTATCTATCTATCTATCTATCTATCTATCTACACTATCTATCTATCTATCTATCTACACTATCTATCTATCTATCTATATATCTCCCCATCTATCTATCTATCTATCTATCTATCTATCTATCTATCTATCTATCTATCTATCTATCTATCTATCTATCTATCTATCTACCCATCTATCCATCTACTATCCATCTATCTATCTATCTATCTATCTATCTATCTATCTATCTATCTATCTATCTATCTATCTATCTATCTATCTACCCATCTATCCATCTACTATCCATCTACTATCTATCTATCTATCTATCTATCTATCTATCTATCTATCTATCTATCTATCTATCTATCTATCTATCTATCTATCTATCTATCTATCTATCTACCCATCCCATCTATCTACCGATCTATCTATCTACCCATCTATCTATCTATCTATCTATCTATCTATCTATCTATCTATCTATCTATCTATCTATCTATCTATCTATCTATCTATCTATCTATCTATCTATCTATCTATCTATCTATCTACCCATCCCATCTATCTACCGATCTATCTATCTACCCATCTATCTATCTATCTATCTATCTATCTATCTATCTATCTATCTATCTATCTATCTATCTATCTATCTATCTATCTATCTATCTATCTATCTATCTATCCATCTATCCATCTATCTACCCATCCCATCTATCTACCGATCTATCTATCTACCCATCCCATCTATCTATCTATCTATCTATCTATCTATCTATCTATCTATCTATCTATCTATCTATCTATCTATCTATCTATCTATCTATCTATCTATCTATCTATCTATCTATCTACCCATCTATCTATCTTTCTATCTACCCATCTATCTATCTTTCCATCTATCTATCTATCTATCTATCTATCTATCTATCTATCTATCTATCTATCTATCTATCTATCTATCTATCTATCTATCTATCTATCTATCTATCTATCTACCCATCTATCTATCTTTCTATCTACCCATCTATCTATCTTTCCATCTATCTATCTATCTATCTATCTATCTATCTATCTATCTATCTATCTATCTATCTATCTATCTATCTATCTATCTATCTATCTATCTATCTATCTATCTATCTATCCATCTATCCATCTATCTATCTATCTATCTATCTATCCTTTACAGGCAAGGAGATGAAGGGATAGCGGTTTAGTTAAAATTTTTACAAAGTCCAAGAGAGTTGATCGCTTTATATGATGAACAGATTAAATTTAGGCTTTTATTTTTGTTTTTAATGTTGTTTATGTGTCTATGTGGTGTTTTTAATATGCTTTAAGACAAACCATGTGTAAGTTCATAAGTCGACAGCATTGCTGAGTATTTTCTGCTTAAAACTGCAGTGAACCAAAGACAGTCTCAAAAACACGGTGTGAAATCGCTGGTGTTTCTGACGTCACAAACGACCTTGTAACCAATCAGATCAACGTGTGATCGTCAACCAGTGGATCTCTGAACTGAGTGAGTGAGTGGAGGCGGGGCTCATTTGCATATTCATAGAACCCCGAATACTAAATGAGGCAAGGGTGTCGAGTTACATTCAAGATATTTTAAGAGATGAAGACATTTTTTTCAAGGAAAAAACTTTTAAATATGTAATTTTGGTGATCAACGATGAGTTTTAAGGGATGAAATTGACTACAGGGAGGCTTTAAGGAATTTATTTTTTACATTAAACGTTTTTTACCCAAAACTTTGACCGTTTGCTATTGGTGGATCTCATGTGAGTGACAGGTTGTTGCTCCGCCCTCATCATCACAGAAGAGAAGCTGCAAGAGGAAGTTATTCTGATTCAAGATTATGAGGCACATGAATTAAAAAAATATAATGATGTGCACAGATAAATCATTCATAATAAATACTGCAGATGCAAAATTCCATATAAAGTAGGAATTGTCTATTTTGATTTCATGGTGACTTTAACACACACGACACACGCTCGACCTCTGCATTTACAAACGCTCACAAACACAGCGTTTTGGCTTTCGAGCGCCTCAGAGGAGCGCAGATACAGTACATCAGGCTTCAAACTCCTGTGTGAGCCGCTGACAAGAGAACGACCACAGATGGCATAATCGCATTTCATTAATTTACACCTTTTGAGGCAGATGCACGGTTATTTTTATAAAGGTGTAAGTCTGGGCGCCATCTATCGCACATGTCGCTACAGCGAGTTCAACGTCAAACATGATTGTGTGATATTTATACAATCACAGTCTGCATCTAAAAGAAAGTCAAATTCACCGTCGAGAACTTTAGAGCAAATTAGAAAGTTTTAAGTGACATAAATATACATTCATGCTGAAAACAACCAGCCTTTGGTGGTTTGATAGTCTTATTGGCCACTGAAATGGGTTTCACTGGTCAGGCTGGTTATTGCAATGCAAAAAATGATATTCTTACTTAATAGTTTTGTCTTGTTTTCAATTACAAATATCTAAACATTCTTAAATCAAGATATTTTTACTTGAGAAGCAAAATGACTGAAGATTATTAAGAAAAATCATCAAAATGAAGTGAGTTTATGCTTAAAAGAAGTAAAAATATCTGTAAATATCTATAAAATAACTTGGTTTAAAAAAAATCTGCCAGTGAAGTCAGAAAAATAAACTTGTTTCCCTCTTTGAATTAAGATTATTTTTCCTGCTCCACTGGAAGATATTTTTACTTGAGAAGCAAAATGACTGAAGATTATTAAGAAAAACCGTCAAAATGAAGTGAGTTTATGCTTAAAAGAAGTAAAAATATCTTCCAGTGTAGCAGAAAAAATAATCTTAATTCAAAGAGGGAAACAAGTTTATTTTTCTGACTCCACTGGCAGATATTTTTTTACTTGTTCTAAGCACAAACTCACTTCATTTTGATGATTTTTCACAAAACAAGAATTTATATTTTTTAACCTGCATGAAAAGGTAAATTCACAGATCAAATGTGTTATGCATGACCTGTAGAAACTCTTGTGAGAGGTGAACGGACCTCTACCTGCCACAATCACTGCCGCCTGCAATCACTGCCGCCTGCAATTACTGCCACGACTCTCCGGCTCGCTGATTAACTGCCTCGCATGGCCAATGCTTGTCAAGTCTAAACCCTCTTCAGCTCTCAATAAAGTCAGCCAGCAATTGCAACTTAGTTGAAGACGACGAGAACAGGATCAGCGTGAAGCTCTCGCTTTAAAATAACAAGCTCTCACACGGAGAGTGACCGTCAGTTATTTAAAGTTAAACAACACAAAAGTAATTTAATCGAGGAGCAGCTTGTGTCTCATTCACACTTCAGTCAAATTTAAATTAAAAATGTGGCCTGAGGGGCTGTTTCACACGACTTAAAACGTAAAACTTTTTATGCCGTTCATTTACACGACGACGGCGTTTTGGGTGCCTGAAAACGCAAACTTTTGAAAACGGTCTCCTCCGTGTAAAACAACAAAAACGTGAAGATGATGACGTCACGCACATAAAAAATAACTCTTTTAATGAACATAAAAAAATCATGGAAAGGTTATCCACAGGATTAACTTGCTTTATTTCAGCATTATGCAATTATGTTATTCCAATTTAATGTACTTACGTTGGGTCAACTTAATGTATTAAGGTTGATTCAACTTATTTACTATGGTTGGGCACAGCTTAATTTAATATTGTCAGCGAATTTAAGAAGGCTCCCTGATATGATTCAGGTATTCAAATTCATATATTCATTCATCCAATGCAATATAATTCATTTTAGTATCCATTAATACATTTCGAGACTGTAGCCAACTATTGGCTACCAATAGCACCTTTTAACATCTTATATCATAAGATTTACATCATAGGTTCTCAAAGTGCGGTCCGCGGGCCAATGGCGGCCCGCCGAAACATTTCTGGCGGCCCGCGATAACATCTGTAAAACTGTTAAAACTATTGCTTTGAAAAAAATGAATATCTCCGTTTAGTGGTGTTTAGCGGCATCCATAGGCCGACCGATCGCACTTGACCTCACTCCCAAGGCCACCAGGAACAGTGGTTGTCTACACAGGAATAGGAATCGTGGCCAACCGAAACCAGCACCACAAATCCCATTGCAATTTAAAAGGGTATGTTGACCAAGTAATCAATATTCAATGTGACTTAATAATAATCTTAACAATGTCAAGCTTATTAATAGCCGCGTATCCATTACCTTTCAAAATGTTCGCGGGCGCGAACACTTGCATTTTCCTATCAACAGTGGAAACAACTTAAACTAGTCTATCATTTCTGGTCATACAGAAAATAATAATGCATTATTCGCAACTACTTTTATTTGTGTAAACTCATAACAAGAAAACGTGCTTTTGTAAAATAAAATAAAACAATCAGTAGCCTAGGCTACTACGCGCTTTCATGATCTCCGTGAACTGGAGCGCGAGAACTGAAACAAAATATAGCTAGCCTATGTAGGCTAAAGCTTAAAATGTGCACTT